GAACTGAAACAAGAAAAAACAACCCCATCAAAAAGTGGGCAAAAGATATGAACAGACACTTCTCAAAAGAAGACATTTATATGGCCAACAAACATACGAAAAAAAGTTCAACATCACTGATCATTAGAGAAATGCAAATCAAAACCACAATGACATACCATCTCATGCCAGTCAGAATGGCGATGATTAAAAAGTCAAGAAACAATAGATGCTGGCAAGGCTGTGGAGAAATAGGAACGCTTTTATACTGTTGGTGGGAATGCAAATTAGTTCAACCATTGTGGAAGACGGTGTGGCAATTCCTCAAGGATCTAGAACCAGAAATATCATTTGACCCAGAAATCCCATTACTGAGTATATACCCAAAGGAATATAAATCATTCTACTATAGACACATGCACATGCATGCTTACTGCAGCACTATTTACAATAGCAAAGACATGGAACCAACCTGAATGCCCATCAATGATAGACTGGATAAAGAAAATTTGGTACATATACACCATGGAATACTATGCAGCCATAAAAAGGAATGAGAGCATATCCTTTTCAGGGACATGGATGAAGCTGGAAGCCATCATCCTCGGCAAACTAACACAGGAACAGAAAACCAAACACTGCATGTTCTCACTCATAAGTGGGAGTTGAACAATGAGAACACATGGACACAGGGAGGGGAACAACACACATCAGGGCCTGTTGGGGGGGAGGTGGCGAGGGGAGGGAACCTAGATGACAGATCAATAGGTGCAGCAAACCACCATGGCACACGTATACCTATGTAACAAACCTGCACATTCTGCCCATGTATCTTGGAACTTAAGTAAAATAAAACAAAATAAAATAAAATAAAATAAAAATGCTTTTTTAAATAAAAGAGATCTAAGAGATATATATCAATATATATCAACTAAATGTCATATTTGGATTGTTTGGATCAGTTAAAAATGCATTTTTGAGAATTAGGAAAAATATAACGTGGATTTAGATGACATTAAGGAATAAGATAATTTGTTACGCATAATTATGGCATTGTGATTATGGGGAAAAAAAGTCCTTCTCATGCCCATAAACTTGGGTAAAAAGATATGTCAGAAATTTACTTTAAAGCACTCTCTCCCACCCCTAAAAGAGAAGCAGATAGATGAAGAAGGACATACAAAATGTGGATAATTGTTAAAGCTGTGTGTTAGGTATATGGAGATTCTACATTCTATGTTTTAAATTTTCCATTTAAAAAGATTTTTTTAATGCAGTACTCTTGGCACTACGCATAATTACTTACAGTCGTCCCTTGGTATATGTAGGGAATTGGTTCCAGCACCACCCCTCACCCCGCCACCCCCCGGCATATACCAAAATCCACACATCCTCAAGTCCACAGGGGGCCTTCTGGAACCCAAGCATACAAAAAGTCAGTCATACATATAGGAGGGTTTCACATCACAACAATACTGTATTTTTGATCTCCATTATCTGTGTATAAGTGCACCCACGCCATTCAAATCCATGTTGTTCAAGTTTGGAAGTTCCTCAAAAAATGAAAAATAGAGTTACCATATGATCCAGTAATCTCACTCCAAGGTATATCACCCACCAAAAAGGAAATCAGTATATGGAAGAAATATCTACACTCCCATGTTTATTGCAGCACTGTTTACAATAGCTAAGATTTGGAAGCAGCCTAAGTGTTCATCAACAGATGAATGGATAAAGAAAATGTGGTACATATAAACAGTGGAGTACTATTCAGCCATAAAAAGAATGAGATCCAGGCTGGGCACGGTGGCTCACACCTATAATCCCAGCACTTTGGGAGACCGAGGCAGGCAGGATCACCTGAGGTCAGGAGTTTGAGACCAGCCTGGGCAACATGGCAAAACCCTGTCTCTACAAAAAATACAAAAATTAGTCTGTCGCAGTGGCGTGGGCCTATAATCCCAGCTACTCAGGAGGCTGAGGCAGGAGAATCACTTGAACCTGGGAGGCAGAGGTTGCAGTGAGTTGAGATGGCGCCACTGCACTCCAGCCTTGGCGACAGAGTGAGACTCTGTTTATTTCAAAAAACAAAAAAATAAACCGGTCGTGGTGGCTCATGCCTGTAATCCCAGCACTCTGGGAGGCCAAGGCAGGCAAATCATCTGAGATCAGGAATTTGCTACTCTGGAAGGCTGAGGCGGGAGAATCACTTGAACCCAGGAGGCAGAGGTTGCGGTGAGCTGAGATAGTGCCACTGCACTCCAGCCTGGGTAACTAGAGCAAAACTCGGTCTCAAATAAATAAATAAACAAACAGTTAAGGATGGCTGGGCACCGTAGCTCATGCCTGTAGTCCCAGTACTTTGAGAGGCCAAGACAGATGGATCACAAGATCGGGAGACCGAGATCATCCTAGCTAACACAGTGAATCACCATCTCTACTAAAAATACAAAAAATTAGCTGGGCGTGGTGGCAGGCACCCGTAGTCCCAGCTACTTGGGAGGCTGAGGCAGGAGAATCGCTTGAACTTGGGAGGCGGAGGTTGCAGTGAGCTGAGACCACGCCACTGCACTCCAGCCTGGGTGACGCAGCGAGGCTCCATCTTTAAAAAAAAAAAAAGATAGGACATGACTACCGACTTTACAGAAGAATTATCACACACTACTGTGAGCAACTGTTTGCCAAAAAATTGGATAATATAGATGAATTCCTAGAAACACACTACCAAAACTGATTCATAAAGAAACAGAAAATTAATTAGTCCTGCAACAAGTGAAACTGAAACAATCGAAAAGTTCCCAACAAAGAAAAGTCCAAGACCAAATAACTTCACTGGTGAATTTTTTTTTTTTTTTTTTTTGAGACAGTCTTGCTCTGTTGCCCAGGCTGGAGTGCAGTGGTGCGATCTCAGCTCACTGCAAGCTCTGCCTTCCAGGTTCACACCATTCTCCTGCCTCAGCCTCCTGAGTAGCTGGAACTACAGGTGCCCGCCACCACACCCGGCCAATTTTTTTGTATTTTTAGTAGAGACGGGGTTTCACTGTGTTAGCCAGATGGTCTCGATCTCCTGACATAGTGATCCGCCTGCCTCGGCCTACCAGAGTGCTGGGATTACAGGCGTGAACCTCTGCGCCCCAGCCACTTTTTTTTTGAGATGGAGTCTCACTTTGTCACCTGCACTGGAGTGCAGTGTCACCATCTCAGCTCACTGTAACCTCCGCCTCCCAGGTTCAAGCAATTCTCCTGCCTCAGCCTCCCGAGTAGCTGGGATTATAGGCGCTGACCACTATGCCCAGCTAATTTTTTGTATTTTTTAGTACGAAATTTCATCATGTTGGTCAGGCTGGTCCCGATCTCCTGACCTCGCGATCCACCTGTCTCAGCCTCCCAAACTGCTGGGAATACAGGCATGAGCCACTGCACCCGACCTTCACTGGCGAATTCTAACAAACATAAAAGAAAATGAAGACTAATCTTTCTCAGTCCAGGCATGGTGGCTCACTCCTGTAATTCCAGCACTTTAGGAGGCCAAGGCAGGCAGATCACCTGAGGTCAGGAGTTCGAGACAAGCCTTGCCAAGGTGGTAAAAGCGTGTCACTACTAAAAATACAAAAATTAGCCAAGCATGGTGGTGGGCGCCTGTAATCCCAGCTACTCAGGAGGCTGAGACCGGAGAATCACTTGAACCTGGGAGGTGGAGGTTGCGGTGAGCCGCGATCGTGCCATTGCACTCCAGCCTGGGTGACGAGCAAAACTATGTCTCAAAAAAAAAAAAAAAAAGACTAATCTTTCTCAAACTTCATTTTAAAATGAATAGGAGGCCGGGCACGGTGACTCAAGCCTGTAATCCCAGCACTTTGGGAGGCCGAGACGGGCGGATCACGAGGTCAGGAGATCGAGACCATC